TTTCTTAGAGTGTGTATAATTGCACATTCTGTATAGGTCGTTAAACACGGCATTTTAATTTTACTAAATTAAATTAACATATTCTATTATATAATTATTCAGAAAAATTACACTTTTGATCCAATAACTTAAAATGTTTCTCATTTTTTTCCCAATAACTTATTGTTGTCTAAAATTGATCTACCAACTTTTCAATTTCAGTTCCAATTTCAGACCAAATAACTCCAAAATTGACTAAAATTTAAGAATTATTAAACTTATTTCGATACCCTAAGTCGACTTCCGACAGTCGACTGAACCAAGATGACCTCGCCACTAAGGATTAGTCAAGCGTAGCCTCCGAATCCTCGCATATCCACGAGTCGACATCCTATCTCTCGAAGTCGACCTCGCACACCTCGACTAGCATAGATGTGATGACGACTCATCACACTTGCACCATACTTGAAGTTCCATATACCACAAAGGATAAGAAGGGATCTTGTGATGACTCAGCAACAAAGGGGAGACGAATCGACAGGGGTATTTTGGACCTTCTGGGTCCACCGACTTGGGCATTTTGGACATTTCACGTAAGTATTCACTCTTATATAGACCTCAATAAATATCTGAACAAAAATAAGAAAACACCTTATATCAGTGGACGAAACTGCAATTTTCTCTTATTGTACCCATTCCATTTAATATGTACATGCGAAAATCTCCCTAATAACTTACCCATGTAATTAATTGTATACGACTACAAATTGAAAAGGATTTTTATTATAATACTAGTTGCCTTCCGATTGTGCATGTATAGCCGGCCAAAATTCAGTCGATAATGGGGAAATATGTTGTTTTTTCATGTGCTTTTAAAAAAATATTTTAAAATGTGTGAAATCACATTCATGCATTTGACACATACATACACTTCGCATTCCTAAAAGTGAATTTAAATCCGTTAATATTAATCTATCATAAAGGCGAGAAAGTACAATCAGAACACATAAAAAGCACACCAAAATGAAGTTTGAAATACTTCAAAACACTTTAAGGAAATAAAAGGTTCCATGTCCTTGTTTTTACATAACCTTGATAGAGCTTGAATTAATGAACTATGGTAAAAAGATATGATGGGCATTTGCAAGCAAGAGTCTTCTACTTCATAACTCCATAAATTTTCAGCATTCAAGCTAATGTGAGAAAAAGGGAGAAAACCTTTGACATATATTGAGATATTCCTTGAAACAATGAAACCAAAGAAACTAAAAACTATCCCAATAATAGAAAAACATAAATACAGAATTTCACATGACCACAAACCTCCTCCAATAGCTCTTCTATATGTTCACTAAAATTACTCCAACTATCCAACGTGGGAAAAAAAAAAATTGGCAAGCCTTCTAAACAATTTTAAGAGAATTGAGATCAAGATGAAGGTCTCCAAATAGAAATTTTTAACAATTGAACAACAATGAAAGGATATTCTATGGCTTGCTAAATGTGTAGGTGCACACACATGATTTAATCATCCTGTAAATTGCATATCCAATATTAGCTTCAATATTAGGCTATACAATTTGTTTTCCATAAGCATGTACACTCAGATGAGAAACAACACATACATCTTCTAGAAAGAAGAGTGAACAGAATGACCGTGCACTTCTGCTTACATTGTATACAAAATTTAAAGAATCAATTCTAACCATGGCAACTTATTAAACAATACTGACCGTAAATTGGAGTCCCAGGCAGCAATTATAGGAAACTAAACATATTAGTGAGACTTACACTTACATGCCCATAAGAATTGACCCTTGACCCTACCAACCGATACACAATTTCACTTTGGTGTTCGCATGTGAACATAGATTTTCATAACATGGCTTGAACATTGAGAAAAAGTTCATTATATAAATATGATGGATCTCATATGTTGTTGTTTCCATGAGGCACACAAAGGGAGGGTGAATGACCGCGCGTCGCGACGCGGCAAATTTAAATTTATATATTTTCCTCAACTAACCTCTACTAACTAGTAGTAGTGGCGAGTAAGGGTCGATCCCACGAGGAGTAGGAATTAAATCGTGATAATCTCGTATTAATTGAATTAAACTAGGAAAGCAATAAAGGTGGGGGGGATTGGTTTTATAAAAATAAAAATAAAAATACGAAAATAAAATAAAAATCTAATAAAATAAGAGAAGTCCAGTTTTCGGTTCTGTTATCACCCAATCTAAATCTGCCGTTAATTAATGTCGACGCTTTCTCTAAATTGCTAACGAATTACCAACCCTAGCTAACAACAAGCTCTGTTAACCGAATTTTCCCTTACCGAATATTTAATCGAAATAGGCTCTTCGACTAAACCTAACTAGCGGACAACCTAGAATAGTACATTCCGGGCTCCAATACGCATCCATTTATAACAAGTACCACCTGTAAAAGAAACCAAAAGGAAAAAGAAAAATAGGGGGATTAAAAGAGTCAAAGAAAAAATAAAATAAAATAAAAACTAATCTAATTACCTAATTCAATTAATACTAAAAAAAAATCACAACTCAATTGCGCCACTCCCCGGCAACGGCGCCAAAATTTGACCACGCGTCGCGACGCGGCAAATTTAAATTTATATATTTTCCTCAACTAACCTCTACTAACTAGTAGCAGTGGCGAGTAAGGGTCGATCCCACGAGGAGTAGGAATTAAATCGTGATAATCTCGTATTAATTGAATTAAACTAGGAAAGCAATAAAGGTGGGGGGGATTGGTTTTATAAAAATAAAAATAAAAATACGAAAATAAAATAAAAATCTAATAAAATAAGAGAAGTCCAGTTTTCGGTTCTGTTATCACCCAATCTAAATCTGCCGTTAATTAATGTCGACGCTTTCTCTAAATTGCTAACGAATTACCAACCCTAGCTAACAACAAGCTCTGTTAACCGAATTTTCCCTTACCGAATATTTAATCGAAATAGGCTCTTCGACTAAACCTAACTAGCGGACAACCTAGAATAAGCTCTCTAGATTTAATACACTAGCAGCATTAATTACTAGGAAAATAGATTGATCTAAGCAATGGACGCAAAAGCTCGGACCATTTAACTTATGTTCATGCTACCCTAGAGATGCGCGACCCCTAGTTTACTACTAACGAAACGAGACAATAACAATTACGGATTAAAGTCTCGAATCTAGCAATTAAACTATGAATATTCAACGTAGTTGGCCAAACTAAATCAAACACCATAATTTATAAACATTAAATATAGATAACATGAATCAACTCATCAACAAAAATAAATACGACGTCTCAATTAACCAACGATAAATATAAATCCTTCAATCCATAGACAAATCGAAGTTAGGGTTCAAACATCCCCTAAAACTGGATAAAAATATTAACCTAACATACTAATTAAAATAAAAACTAGATAAAAGAGAGAATAAAATTCTCCCTCGTGTGCGGGTGCGGCTTCCCTCCGCGTGTAGGCTTCTCTCCTTTTCTCTCTGTCCGTATATGGCGTTTTTCTTTGTTCTGAGTGCTCTCGGCTTTCGTGAGTTTCTGATTTTCTTCTATGGCTCACGGCTTTTTTCTCCCCCTGCTACTCACGACTTTTGCAATATAAATCCTATCCAATGAGTCCTATTGCAAATCAATTTCCAGCCCTCTTATGCTATGTTTTTTTGCTTTTCCCAAATAATTCCAAGTGGCCTGGCCAATCCAATTAATTGCACCACTCACGTGAGTTTGAGCTGCGTGTATAGAGTTTAGAATTCTCAATTAATCCTCTCCCACCATTGCATCACGTGGCTACCATGTTTGTAATCCCCCTTATATATTAATTGAGAACGTGTTGAGCCTATGTGGCAGGCTCGCATGCTTCGGGATCCTATGTGGCAAAATTACATGCTTCGTTATTAGGCTTGGATAAGTTTGGATTATCTATAAATATGTTGATTATTTATGGTAGGGGTGAGCGCGGTCAGGAACGATCTTGGATTTGATTTGTCCGCATACCCATCCCACTTTTATGACGGGATGAGACACCGTCTCCACCCATGTAATACATGGGTGTTATACTAGTTGGGCTTTATTTCAAAAACTTCTTCTAAACATGTGTTTGGGCCATAAATAATTTGGTATTGGGAATCCAATCTTTTGCGAACACTCCTCCAATGCTCCAGATCCACAAAATACTCCATTGAACTGAAAATAAATATAAAAACATCAATGTGTATGAGTCCATTCAAATAATAAATAAGTCGAAAAATATAAACGTGCGAATAAATTGAGTATATAAAAATACACTATTAAACATATAAAATAAGCACATTTTCCGACCTATCAGTGAATTTGAATCCCTAAGCAAGATCACTTAGCTACTTAGCTGCTATGAGTGTGTCAAGGGAAAAAAAATATTTGAACACATACTATAGAATACGAAGCGGTTCGACATATTGAAGTATATTTTGGACAAAACAGGTATTCAAACCTAATATGCATTTTTCACATTGAAATGATAATCCTAAAGTTACCTCCAAGTTTAACTTTGGGAGATAGCTAATTAGCAGTTCGCTGAAGAACTCCTGTGTTAGATGTAGTGACTGTCTACAGGTGTCTGCCACGGGATGAGATTCAGTGTCCCCATAAAGAACTTGCTTTAATTCTCAAATGAGCTTTCCCAACTCCATCACCTACACAGTATCACAACTAAAATGAGAAAGCACAAAAAAATTGTAGTAATGATCACTATACTCCATAATAACTCTGCATAATCACAATTCATGTCAATAAGAAAACAATAGGCCTAACAGAAACTATAATAAGGTCGAAAGCAAAAAAAATATGCAGACATCAATTGTCCACCACAGGACTATTTTTTTCCTAATTCCAATATTCTCATTTTGTCACAATGTCAGCTACAAACACTACCAAATCACTAAAACCCATAAAATAACGTTGGAATGCTACCTTCTCATCGCGCTTGAGAGTCGAGCGCTCCGCCAACGGCAAAGATGAGTACATCCCGCGTCTATCTCAACAAATTAGCAGGAGTCACCCGCACGAAGTTTCGGTCAGACTTCCATCAGTCGCCATCAGCCCACGGCTGCTGGTATTTTGAAATTCAGCAAAACCCTCGATTGACCCTTTTCGTCCTCGTCGAGATTCATAAGTGCAGTCGCGCCACCGGCCGTCAACAATACCTCAGGTGAAGAAAGAGAACAGTAACATAAGCATTAGCATAAAAAAATGGCAGTGACAACACATTGGTCTCCACCTATTATTTGAAATGTAATTGATACAGTAGTAAGGTTAAAAAAAATTAGAGTCATAGCCAGGTTTTTAGAGAGGTTTAGATATGTTGTAGAAGAAATCAAATGGGTTTTACATATTTGCATCAAGCTTAGGTGACCTATCACCAACCGGCATGCACAAAAGCTTGATATCAACATTAAGATCAATGTTCTATTAAGTATGACACAAGAGCTCATACAAATGTGTCTATATATTAAAATTTAAAAATAATAAAACATATTTTAAAATTCAATATACCTGAATAAAATCCATGTTGTGCGCATCTTCTAAAATGATCCCCTAATAGAATCAAGATGTTATTGATGTCTTTTTCCTTGAGATATGTCATTAAAAATCACCTGAGACAAAAAACTCCTTGACAATTTAGTACGTGCATGCATAAAACAATTATAAGAATATTGAATATCTTAAAATCTAACCTCATCTTGACGAATAAATTGTTTAACAACATTGGCTATCCCTTGGAAGTTGGAACCGTTTCCGTTTAAGTTATCGCTAAAACCTGCAAGTGTTTAACTTTTATATGAGTGGCTAAGACAAAAAAACAATAAAAAATAAAAAACTGTAGCCACAAATACTTACAAGATTTCTTGAGTTTAAGTAATAGGACAACAAATTATCAATGAATTCTAAAGTTCAACATTCAAACATTACTAATGCATGTATCGGCTGAATTGCGATACACTACAAGAATTGATGACTGAATCTGCGGACATTTTTTTTTTATTTTTTGTCAAATTGAGTAAAAATAACAAAATTTAAAGTACAAAGAAAAATAATAATAATAACATGAATTCTTTGTAGTACAAAAAATTTAAACCTTGTCTTCATTCATAAGTGGCCATTCATTCAATGGTATCAAAGAGCAATATAATTATACATAATCATGACATTTTGTCCCCTATTTGATCAACTTTAAGCTCAAGTAATATCCGTAGATATGACTTAGAACTTCTCCAACCCTACTTTACTTCAGCGCAAATCTCTAGAAATTATCTCCAATCCTGCGCTATATGTCACCGGTACTCCAGTGCTGTAAACAGTATTGCGCTGAATACAGAGATAAACTGTTCATCCAACGCTACATTTTCTTTCTTTTTCTTTTAATATTTTATGTTTATTTTATTAATACTGGTACCATTTAAATTGGATATCACATATTATTGAATTATATAGAATTGTAAGTAGATTTTTAACAAACATCATAAATACAATTTTTATAAAAAAAATAAACTAAAATGTATTTCTCATTTAATTTTTTCACTACTTGTACATGATTAAGGTTTTAGAAATATATTGATGTTGGTAAAAAATATTATTGTATTTAAATATATTTTTATTAATCATATACATGCAAATAATTATATATGTATAAAAACATGTCTAGTTTATTAATAATATACATGTAAATAATAATAGATGTATTTTTAAATTTATTTTGTAAATTTTAATAGTACCATATGAATAAAAATTTACCACAATAAAATAAATAGATTTCATTAAAATCAAAAATTATAACACACATCAACATATTTTTATTTTTCGGGTAACAAAAATTTATATAAGATTAAATATACATATATATAGAAATTTATTGAAATAAAATTGAATAAAAAAATAATAGAATATATGTAGAGTAAAATGTAGCGCGAACGATTGGAGATATTTGACTAACTTTACTCGAGTAAACTCTACACTAAAGTAGAGTAAAGGGCTGGAGATGGTCTTAGCATCAAACTTTGGAGAATGGAACCATAATATAACCGTTGACAGATCTAAATACAAGATGTAAGAAATATAATATCCGTAGATGTGATTTAGCATCAAACTTTGGAGAATAGAAACCATAATATAACTGTTGAGTGATCTAAATACAAGATGTAAGAAATACTTTTGGTGGTGGATAATGTTTTGCTAAATTTTGATGTAAGAGAGTGTTTGGGAGATATAATTTTGCCATGGTAGTAATATTTGCCAAGATGATGCTTGTACCTGGCCACAACATGGGCAACCCTGAAGCACGACAATCATGTGCAGAGCTTGTAAAACAACAAAATATTATTACACATGAGAATATTGATGACAGAGGGGAATTTTAAAATGCACGATTTAAGAATTAGTCATAAAAAACATTTGAGGACTCATAGGACATAGTTCTCTAAAATTTCAAAAAATTACCATAACCCTCATTGAGCTTAGTTGTTCCGTCAAGAAGAGTAACCCTGTACGGTCGATAACTGAAAAACACAAAAAAATTATTATGAAACTTTCAAGCCAATATGATTCATGCTTTGCTAACTCAAAAAAAATCTCATCAATCAATCTGAACTGAAAAAGTGTGATCCACATTCATACGATTTGAATAGTGTAACTCACGATGTCTATGTTCCTAACACTGTGTGTTACAGAAACAATGGAATCCATTAAACCTAGATCTTTTTTGTAACAGATGAAAAGGATGAAAAACGATACTTCCATAACTAACAAGATAAGGATCATATGTGGTGGGAAAATTAACAATCCATAGAGCACATCGTTGAAAAAGTCTACCGTGTCTAATGCGATCACCGTTCCTGAGAGAGATGTGATTTTCAAGTAGAAAAAACAAAGAAGCGACCTCGAGGCTTTACTTAATAATGAAACAAATAAAAACCATTAGCCTGGTATTGATAGTAACCACTGTGTGCTCATCAACAAATTATAATGTTTGTAATGTGACATCAAGTAAGTGCTAGAGTTATCAAATTAACCTACCCAGCTGCTCTTGACTTGTTCTAGAAATTTCTTTGCCTCTTGAAATTTGACATCTTTCAGGTGCTGGCTGATAAATTCGTATGGTCCACACAGTAGGTTCCGGTGGCCAGGGAAACTCTGCAATCTGCACTCGCCAATAACCAAGCCTTCAAGCGTTACTATTTTTTTCGGTACTTTACGTCAAATCGAAAAACATAAAGCAAAATCGACCAGAACGAACAAGGATCGTAATATCCACGCCGACGACTTTTTTTTTTTTTAATCTCATATTTTGAGTACCCTAACAAATCCAGACTCTAGCAAATCGATCGATTAATCCAAGCAGCGTACCTGATTCTTTTGGACTTGTTGGAGGAAATCGATCTTTCACGATTGAAAGCTTCCCTCCAGCGGATGGTTTCGGCTTTGGCCTCGTCATAATCGCTACCCATAGAATCGTCGATGTCATCATCGAGACGGTGAGACGCTGTTGAAGGCGGAGACCACCGCCTCCACCGCCGTTGCTGAAAAGAACGAAGATAAATTGGGCGGCGATGAAACTTGGCAGAGGAGGAAGAAAGAGGAGGCGTTTTCGTTGAAGAAAAATTGAAAAGGAAAAGGATTTTAATTATAATATACGCCTCACCCGTCCAAATCTTCATTCGAAAAGGATTCCTAATTCTAAAAGGAGTTATATCTCCTTCCTTTGGCTGGCTCTCTCTATATATAAACACCAAACTCCAAAGCCTCAAACCATTGTTATCTCCTCCTATAATACATAATCATAACTCTTTCTGTCTAAATTCCTCCTTTAATTATATTTCTATAGAATTAAGAAGATGAGTGTGGTTCGTTGGTCTACCGTGGCAATATTCACAAGTTCCCTCTTTCTCAACTTAGAGATGTACGAAATCTCTGAATATACGTATGTGCCCACATGGTTGGTGGTATTAACAGCAGCATTATTGTATAATTTCTCTCTACAACACATAGAATCTTCTCGGAGGACGGTCGAACCCGTAAAGCTGAAAAATTACGCGAAACAATTGATCGATGGCGCTTTCATCCTTTTATGCCTCGGAATAGATTACTATGATTTTGAGGGATGGTTGGTGTGGGCTTGGGCTTTCGGTGCTTACTTACATATGGTGGCCGTGTTTGGTTGTTTGGGCTATTCCAGAAGCTTCGGATTCAAAGACATCTTGTTGGCTCAACTTATTTGTCTTTGGGCGTTTTTGAGTCGAGGATATTCGTTGCATGGTAAGTTAATGCTTTTGGGAGTGTCTCTTGCTTTGCAAGTGATGAACAACTTCAGGCGAGACGAGTTTGAGAGAGAGGAATTGGAAGAGAAGCGTTTCTTGTGGTTTTGTTTCTTTTTGTCTTCCCTTTGTTTTATTTATCTTTTTCTGTGGTGGGTGGGTCTTATTTTTGAACCTTTAGTAGTGTTTACGTGTTTTGGTCTTTATGAGTTTGGTTATGGGGGCAATTTGTGTATTTGTGACTGGTTGGTTAGTTTAACTTCTGGATTTCATTGAATAAATAAGAATATTCATGTTCCAAATTGCTGATTCTGTTGATTTCTTGGCGCTTTTTGTACTATTGTTGTCTATGATAAAACTATTTTACTCTTAACAAGTTGTGTTGGTTGAATTAAATTATGTACTTGTGGATAGTTATAATTAGTTGTAACGCGGCAGCCAGTTTGTTTTTAGGCTTGAATTAAAGAGAAAAATCAAGTTATTAAGCAATTAAAATACATATGTTATATATTACGAGATTTTAAATTTATTAATTAGGGGTTCAAGTTATATATATAAAAAAAAAAAACAATATCTACACTAATAAAGAAGGTAAAATAAAAATAAATCTTAATAAAATAATTGAATAAGCTACTTAATAAAATCTATGTTGCAGTTAGACCATACTTAAATCAACAACTATCGTGTACAATGTTTTTTCCGTGTTGCTGCTTGTGCATAAGTTCAAAGTTGAAGTAGTGTCATTCTATATTTTTATTAGTTATTCATCCATTGAAGTTCTAATTAATAAGGTAAAATAATACTACTAATTAAGATATATCTACTGTGTGTGTGATACGAAATTGATAAGAACTTCTTCTTTTTTTTTTTTCGGTTTTCGTTTATTCTGTATTTCTGGTTAATTGGTTGTTGGAAAATGAAAAATGGATGTAGATGCTTCCCAATGAACTGGATTTTAAGTTTCTTAAATCCATTACCTTAACAACAAGAATAATAAATTGATTATAATCAATAATAGTTGGTATTGAGTTAGTACATCTCAGTTTTGCTATGGAGTCATTGGATGACTCGGCTTATGCAGCCATCTACACTTATTCACCAATAATGTATTGACACGTGTCCCGCAATAAATACACGTGGGACATGTGTCAATATATAAGTGGTGGATGACTCCATAAGAAAACCATCTGATGGCTCCATAAAATTTTTATCGTACATCTAGTATGAAGTTTTTAGTTTTAATCGTAATAATAATATATAATTAATTAGAATATGGAGAATTTGGATTTAATATAAATAAAAATAAATAAAAAGAGAATTAGGCTGATAATCATACTGAGTATATATCCAAATAATTGATAACTACAGACTGATTGTTCGTGTACATTTCTTCCTTCAATGTAATTTCAGATTTATCCTTCAATTCAAAAATCTCCTTCCTTAAAGGATTTCATTTTTTTTTCTCACCATCTTCAAATAATTTTGTTTATGTGGAATGTCGGGAAATTCGAAGGTTTAGGTTTTTTCGCACTTTTGACGCTTTTAGGTTTTAGGAATTAGAAATTGGGAATGAATCTGTCGATGAAGTTGCAGATTTGGGGGCAAATTCTCATAAGTTTCGCTCATTCTGTAATCCGCCACGTAAACCACAATCACTCCACCTCCGATAAAACCAAACCATGCCACGCCACGTTAACTTTTTATCTAGGTTGCAAATAAAAAGGTACCAAAATTGATGAAATTGACAAATTATTAGACTCAGATTAAAAGTGCTAATGACGGGATAAATTTTTGGACTTCGGCCAAGTTATAGGACCGACTTTAAATTTTTGCCCTAAAATTTGAGAATCATACCAGCTTGAACAAATTAACCTAAAATTCGATTTTCATACCCATATTAAATAAAATTTATACCATTTATTTTGTTTTTAAAATTTCTAAGTACACTTATATTCATACCAAATAAAATTTATACCATTCAAATTCGGACATTTCATACCAAATAAAATCGTTCACTTCATACCATAAATTTGGACATTTATTATAACAACACATTTCCTATCAAAATCAAAAAACGGTCATCATATACCTCACATAAAATCGCTCACTTTATACCGAAATCGGATTTATTATTTTTGGCAACTTTATACCATAAATTGATTAATTAATTTTGCTGGAGAAAATATTGATTAGGATAAAAATAGATTTGAATGTTAATATTAATTTTATCTTTTCTTTGGTTTTTATGATATATAATGTTTTATTGTCTAATTTATATGTTTATTTCACCAATTATAAAATAGTTGCCACTTTAGAATTCCTTTTTAAATTTAAGAACATGAAAATTTAACGTATCCAAAAATTATCAATAAATAATACTCACAAAAATACTTTTCTTTCTCTACCCTTACGCATACCTTATTAAAATATATTATTTCGATTCCTCAATGAGTGATGGCAAAGTTGAAAAACTGTGGCAAATATTATAGATCGACGCTTAATTTAAAAACAATATAGTATATATTTAAAATTGTGAATAAATTTAAAATAAAAAAACATTGACCAAGATTGATGTAACATAAAAGTAATAAAATATTTAATGAAAAAGATTGATGGTAATAAATACATAAATGGACTAATATTATTTTTTTTATTTGAAAATATATAATAAAAACTATTTTTTAATTGTGTCGGTGAAATTTATAGAGACAAAAAGTGAAATAACATGAATATTATTTTTCGGGGAACCATTTTTATTTCATTTCCAATTTAAATCTTGATTCAACAAAAACTAAATTTTAAAAATGTCTGTATGACAACCTTAAGGCAAACATTATGTGGTTATAAAATTGCTTCTCCACTATCCTGATACTTGCCAAAAGAAGTGCACAATGACCTACAAAAATAATCAATTAGCTTCTATATTAACAGACTATGAAATGTAGTCCTCTAATAAAACCCCCAAAAAATGGTGTAAAACAACATGCACCCAAGGAGGGAAAAGAAAAAATACAAAAATNTTTCTTTATACAATCTATTGGTTACATTACTACTTGTTGAGGAAAGTGGCAGGCTAAAAATGGCACCTTTCTTTATACAATCTATTGGTTACATTACTACCTGTTCAAGTACTGGTTTATGTTCATACGGCTCGTCTCGAAAATAAATGCGAATCCCCTCACCTGGAAGTATATTTAAAAAAAATAATGCACTAATCATTGGAAAACTGTGAAAATTTAAGGCAAATGTCGCGTTTCGGTCCTATTAAACGAAGAAACAAAAACACATTACAGATACTCCCATGATTTGTGTTTCTGATATATACAAATTCGGTGACTTTGTGTTGTTAATTTGTGTTAAGGCTAAAAATCCTCAGGGGGTTACTTTTATAATGTGCTTATTTGAGAGTGCAATCACCCAAATATAGAGTTCAAAGCATTTTGAATAGAATAAATTAGTCAGGTAATAAGCGAAAATGTAGAATAGTTGTATGGTACCTCGATAAGACAGCCAGAAGCAAGGCTTAAACTCTGGCCACGCAATGCCTCATTGCCGTTCACGTGAACCAAAGATCTACCGATGTTGGTCAATTGAAAATTACCAAGCTTGTCCATTTTTATAATAGCCTAATCAGTGTAAAAAAAATAAACAGAATTAAGTATCACAAGGTATGAAGTAATATTATGGAGACAACTATAACTATTAAAATCCGATCCAAATATTGAAATGCCATGTTTTTCGGAAGTAGATGATATGCAAAGCTACATGATACATTAAGTACAACCTTCTCTTTTTTTAGCTTTAATGATAATGATTTATCCATAAGTAGTTTTTAGTCACATATAATTGCTCATTTGTGATTTCGAATCCACATTGGATAAAGAACAATGCGTTCGAAATAATAAGTTTCTAATAGTCCATTACATTTATCATGCTTTGTAAATCTGTGACTGACATACCTGTCTTCGAGAAATTCTACCACCATTTTTTTCTCTTCCCAAGTCGATGTCAACTTTATTATCTTCGGTTACCCTGCCGAGTATCACCTAAAAGCCATAATCATAATTTCTTTTAAAAACAAACACAAAGTATTTTAATGTATTCTATACTATTTTTTTAGAAGTAATGCTATTTAGCCTACTTGGATGACAACTTGGGTTACAACCCAAGTGTAAATACATTATCAAAAAATTAAAAAATAATGCATTTACACTTGAGTTGTAACCCAAGTTGTTATCCAAGTGGGCTCTATAGCATTACTCATTTTTTTAGCATCACAAAAAAAAATTCGTGCGAATACTCATGGCTCAAATATCTATTTTTTATTGAAGTCATAACTAACAATCTCTTTTCTGAACTTCACGGGCAAGACACCATAAATGCTCTGACTTGCAAATGAATAAATTTGCACTACATAATATACCACAGTAATTGTATATGAAACGAACACGTTTACTTCTCGGACTTAATACTATTCTTATCTGATGAAAATTGCATAGGAAATCCTCAATGAACTTTGAGAGCTCGAAAAAAATGAAGTACCTCGGTTTTCTTTATGAAATGCTTTGACCAGCGGCCGTACAGAACAGCAAATGCGCAGTGAGTAGTAATGGCTCTGTGAGCACATGCCTCGGCTGCTTGCTCAAGCCTCACTATTGCTCTTTTAGATTCCTTGTGCACGTATTGTTGGACTGCAATGTATTATTTTTTTCATTATAGGCTTAAAACTAGATTGAGAATTCTTGAAAATGCTATAAACAACTGATACACTGAAGTCTCACTCTAGACACAAAGAGACTACAACTATCTTTCCAGACCTTAATGGGGGTCAACAGAGTACTTTTAAGTTCTAATACCTTCAAAGAGCATATAAATTACACACAAATTCCTATAAAATAGAGAACTACCTTCTGGATTTGCGTACAGAGAAGGTTCGTCCGGGCTCAAGTCCATATCCAGAATCTGGAGGATAACAACATGAAGCAAATAATAGAAAATTAACGAAAGCAAGAGA